CCCCCCACCTGCCAAAAAACTACCCCAGACACCCCCCAAAAGCACACGGAACAGGTGAAGATTCCTCCCCGCCCCATGCCAACCACTTGCATCCAGGCTCACTTTAATATTAACTATCTTGATGAGTAAGTAATTAATATTCATATCATTAAATGCCACCAATCTTATTAGTGTATCTATAACAGAATATATAACATAACATAAAAGAACAGTACATGCCAATTATATATGCACTTATATGTACCATATGACATATTTTATGATATGTATATAATATATACCATGCACATTAAAAATACAAGATATGTAACCCATGCAACATACACATTATGCATATGCACGTTATAAATCTTAAATGTGTTATATGTCCTATGTTCACATAACACATGTATAACGATGGCTATAAATACAATTAATACATTTTACATTATGGACATGCAAAATATGTATATGTAGTACAAAACATGCAACACGTTATTTATGCGGGAGTCCACAGGACCCAGGAAGCCATTACATGCAATACACATGCATTATATATGTTATATCATGCATGTATAGTATATTACATAACTATATAATGAATATACGTAGATGTATACAACGTGTCATATGCATGGTATGGGTATAGCATGTAACATAATGCATAAATTATATATTAGATAAGTTACATATGCACATAATACATATATATATAATACAGAGGACAGTACATGTAATACTGTGTATATTACATATGTGTACGTTACATAAAATTGTTAGGGTTTGCAAGCTTCTCCCCTCCATCATTCTTGACAGGCAATTTGCTAGTGTATATAACATCCTAAGGAATATACATGTATTTTATATGATATATACATATGTATGCTTTCCACATTCCATATGCATATTCATTAAGGGCAGCTATAAGGCACTGCAATATGTTACATGCAATATAACATCCAGTCCCACAAGCATAATGACCCTTGCTACATAACAATGTCATAATTATTAAATTGACCATTACTATTAATGACCCATTGCCTCCCCCATGGCCCCTTGAAAGCTGCTTTCCTGTGGGAGGAAATGACTCAGTGCCTTGTTAGGCTGCAGCTCCAGATGCTGGTGGGGGAGACCAGGCCTGCAAATCCCCCTCCCATGGGAGCCAAGAGAACCCACCTGCAGGCGCTGGAGCCAGGGAGAGCGGCAGGCAGGGGGCACCCATGGGGTCTCCAGCTGCTCCTGGATGCAGGTTGCCAAGGCCCTGAGCAGCACAGCTGATTTCCCTGAGGGGACAGCATGGGGATGGGAGCGGGGTCAGGACTGGCTGGACACCCCCTGCAAATACAGCCCCGAGCTTCCCATGACCTCTACAGTTGACCACATCTCCCCCTTCCCATGCTGTTATACTCAGCCTGTCCCAGATGCTCCACCTCAGAGCTGGACTTTCCCCCAAGCCTCCCAGCTGTCCCCCCAGTACCATGAGGGTGCCCAGGGTCCTCAGCTTCATCCCGCGGCAGCTTCTCCACCAGGAAGAGCAGGAGGCGCCGGATCTCAGGCTCTGTGCTGTACAGGAAGGTCTGGTACCCCACATCCCCGGGGGCCCCTAGCACCTGCCAGACCCCCCCCCCACAGCTGTTAGGGCTTGAATGCCAGGGTTCTGCATCCCCAGGGACCCCCCAGAGCCCCACCAGTGCCTGGACACCTGGGTTACACCACCCTGGTGATGCCCATGGCCCCCAAACACCTGGGTTCCACATCCCCAGGAACCCTCAGAAACCCCATCAGCGCCTGATGCCTAGGTTCTGCCACCCAGAGACTCCCTTATCCCCCACCAGTGCTTTGACACCTAGATCTGCATTCCCGGGGGCCTCCACAGAGCCTGGACAACTGAATCCCACCACCCTGGGGGGGCCCCCCACAGCTCCCACTGATGCTCACACTCCTGGGTTCCACATCCCTAAGAATCCCCCAGGTCCTTTCCCCCCACCTTCCCCACCAGGGCTCTCTGGGAAAGGGAGATGGTTCTAGGGCATTAGACTAAGAAAGAACTGGTGGCCAGATGCCTGGGTTCTTTCCCCACTCTGGGGGAGGAGTGGGGCAAGGTGCATGGGAGCAGGGGGGATCCAGAAGCCCAGACACCTGGGTCCTCACCTGGCAGGCCTGAGCAAGGCGGGTGCCGAGGCGGAACCGGGCTGACATGCCAGGCGGGAGGCTGGGACTGAGGCCAATGCCCAGCATGGGGTCAATGACATGGAGGCAGCACACAACGGCCTCCACAATCAGCTCCGTGCTGAAGTCCCCAACACACTGCACCTCCTCAGGCACCTCCCTGTGGGCACATGGGGGGGATGCAACCACCTTTGGAGTAAATGCTGGGACCAGACCAATGTAACTGCTTGGGTGATGGGGGGCTGAGATGTGGCCAGCTCTGGGGTGCGGGGCTGGGAACAACCAGGTATAAGATGCAGCTAGCTCTTGAGGAAGGGTTGGGGGGAAGGGCAGCTGGATAACAGCTGAGTATAATAGGCTGAGATACACCTAGCTCTGGGGTGGAGCAGCTGAGGAACGGCTGAGTATAGCAGGCCAAGGTATAGCCAGCTCAGTGAAATGACAGAAGATAACACTGTTGGGGAAGGGCTCAGATGCATCTATCTCTGAGGTGAAGCATGACTGAGTACAACAGGCCAACATGCAGTCAGCTCTGGGGTGGAGTAGCTGAGAAACAACTGAGCATAACAGGCTCAGTTGGGGGGGGGGGGGGGGGGGGGGGGAGGACTGAGAAATGACTGGTTATAACACCCCACAGGGAGGGCTGAAATGAAGCCAGGTCTTGGGTGGAGAAGCTGGAAAACAGCCGAGTAAAATACGAGGCACCCAGCTCTACAGTAGGTGGTGGGGGTGGCCAAGTGGAACATGCTTACACTTACGTGCCCAAAAGCCGCAGCGAGTGGATGAGGATCTTGTCCACCTCCTCCATGGCCCTAGGCTCCTTGGGAGGGTCCCACAGAGCCACCTGGGAGAAAAGAGAGGGGTTTCAGTGGAGAAACAGAGTCAAGCCCCAGGCCCAGCCCCAGGACGCTTGGGTTCTCCGAGATGGAAATGTGGTTTACAATCCTGGACACCTGGGTTCTGCAGAGGCTGGGAGGTGGGACCAGACGGAGCTGGGAGCCCAGACACTTGAGCTCTTTCTGAACTCTGGGATGGAAATGGGAGGGTGGAAGGGTTGAAGGAAAGAGGAACTGCCAGCCTGGGTTCCCCTCCTTGTAGGCAGTCCAGAGAGAGAGTGAGAGATAAAAACAGAGTCACTAGGCAGGCACAAAGGCTGATGGGAAATTGAGGCAAGCCCCGGTGTATGTTGGGTGATAGAGTCCAGCTCCTCCCTAAAGCTCCACACTGCATGCAGGGAGATGGAGTCCTGCCCCTCCTCCCCAGTGCATGCTGGGATATGAAGTCCACCCCCAGGGCATGTTAGGAAATATCCATCTACTCCTCCCCAAATCCTGGGGGGTAAAATCCAGCCCCACCTCCAGCCCCCAGTGCATGCTGGGAAGTGGAGACTAGTCCCTCTCCCCTGAAAACATAGTGCATGCTGGGAGGTAAAGTCCAGTCCCCCTTATGCATGCTGGGTATAAAGCCCCACTGCATACTGGAAGGTAGAGTCCAGCCCCTCCCCCTAACCAAGTGTACGGTGAGAGTCCAGCCCCAATGCTAGGAATAACACCCCATAGGAAAGCAGACTCCCAGAATAAAGGTTGCCAGCACTTTATTGCCCTGGGTCCAGCAGTTTTGCCTCTCTCCCCTAATTGCACCCCCCAGTGTCCCCCTCCCAGGCCCCCCAGGATGCAGCACACAAGGGCCCAGCCTGTGGCCCACCCCATCCCCATGAGCGGTCGTTGCCATGCTGTCCTCATGCAAGGCCCCATCCTATGAGGCAGCCACAGCTGTGGAATGGTGTCAGCTGCACATGGTCAGGGTGCAAGGCCCTCATCTTCATATGCTCCCCTCATGCAAGCCACTCTGTTTTGTATTGGCTCATTGGCTTGGCTCTGACCCCCGTTGGAGGGCTCCTGGATTGAAGGGTGGAGAATGATGCTGGGGGTGGGGAACAGGTGGGAGGAGGGTGGGACCACTGGCTTCAGCCGGGTAGGGATTACAACCCTTGTTTCCTCCCCCTTCTGGGAGGCCCCACCTTCAGCCCCCTCAGCTGAGGGGGGCTGGGCGCCAGGCCCCTTCAGCTGGGGCATAGGGCAGGGGGGGCAGAAGCCCCCTCAGGTCCGGGTCCCTGTGAGGAACGAGGAAGAGAAGTCAAGTTGGAGGGTCCAGGTCCTTGGCACCACCCCCCTGGCTTCTGGCATTGCCCCCTCTCCTTATGGCTCCACCCCCTCCCTAGTGGCTCTCCCCATCCTTATTAGCCCTGCCCCATCCTCTAGCTCCACCCCCTAACCTGTAGCCACACTGCCTAGGCTCTCATCTGGCTCCGCCCCCTCTGCAAGCCTCCCCAGGGTAATCCTTCCCTGGCTCCACCCCTTTTCCATATCCCACCTCCACCTATAACTCCTTCCATCCTCCTCTGGCTCCACCCCCTTGCATGTAGCCATGCCCCAGTCTCTAGCTCCTCCCCTGACTCCCAGGCCCTGCCTCCACCTGGAAGCCCCACCCCTGAACCTCTATAACTCTCCCCCCCTTCCCTTCTGGCTCCACTGCAGAGCCTGCTGGCTCCCCACACAACCCTCTGGCTCCACCCCTGCCCCATAGTCCCACCCCTGGGCGGTACCGGGGGAAGCGCTGGCTCCTCCTCCTCTGGAATTCACCTTCATCAACCGTCCACACAGCGCCTTTCACGTTTTCCACCCGCACGAAGCACTTGTGCAGGCTCAGGTTGTGTCGCACGGCATTCTGGGAAGACACAGGGGACGATGTCAGGGCCAGCAGGGCCCCTCACTCTGAACCTGCAAACCGCCCCACCCTGTCACCCTGTGGTGCCCTTCACTCCTGACCCACAGCCTCTCACCTTCCAGGTGGCCGTGTTGTGGCGGAAGTAACCAAAGCTCCGGCTGAACCAGTGGTAAATCTCATTCAATGTCAGCTGCCGCTCGGGTGACTCCATGATGGCCTGAGGGGGGAGCAGTGGGGAGGCAAGAGGTCATGGGGTGGCTGCAAGTTAGGAGTGAGAGGCACTGCAGTGCGATGGGGGAGCTGTGGGTTGGGAGTGAGGGGCATCACAAGGGAGGGGGGGCAGTGATCCCCTGAGGCTTAGTGGGAGCAGGGGGGAAGGTCCAGGAATAGTTAAAATTCCACCCCCACAGAGTCAGGAGAGGGGTATGAAATGGGGGCGGGGCTCCAGGCTGTCACTCACCCATCGGATGAGAGCAGCATAGGTGAAGGGGGGCCGAGCAGTGCTGACCCGGTAGTATTCCAGGCTGGGCCCCAGCTCTGTGCCAGAAGGACAGCTGTCAATCACAGGTGCTGGCCCCACCCCCCTCCACTCAGCTCCACCCCCCCCAAACATCCCACTTCCCTCTCACAGAGCCCAGGCTTCAGGACTGCCAACCCCAGCCTCTGTTGACCCCCCACCAGCCCTCACTCCTCTCCCAGAGCAGGGAAGGAACTCAAACATCTGGGCTACCAGGCCCCACCCCTGCTTTGGCCCCCCAGCTCCAGAGTTTAAGGGTCAGGATCCAGGCACCCATGACACTCACCTGGGTAGAAGCTAAGGCTGTGGTGCCCCCACAGGGGTGTCTCGAGGGTGTCTTTTGGGCCGGCAGCAGGGGAGGGGCCTGGGCGGAGCCAGCCAGTGTGGGGGAGGGGGGTGCTGGCCTGGACCTTCCCCAAGGCAACCTAGAGGTGGTGAGAACAGGTGAGGTCTTAAGCCCACCTCACCCTAACCTTTGGCCCTTTTCTGACTCATCCCCTGGGGCTTCCGGATCTGCCAACCTGCAAACTTGGCTCCAAGCATGGACCCGCCTTCTCCAGTCCACCCCACCCCCTAGGTTCTCTCTATGCCCTGTCCCTTCCCTTGGGCAACCTTGGCTCCACCCCTTTGCCTACCTTCCACATGAAGTGCCCAGGCCCTGCCTTTTCCTGGGAGGCTGTGCCCCCTCCACCACCATGATCCATTTCCCTATGGGGTTTAAACCCCATCCCTTGCTCTACAAGGTCCCGCCCCCTACATAAGGCCACTTCCAGCCCTGCCCCTTGGCCCCTCCCTGGCCATGCCCCCTGGCCTTTTGCCCCACCCCCAACTCCTTACCACATCCAGGGCAGGGTCAGCTCCAACCAGTTGGGTCTGCATGAGTGCCAGGCGCTGCCGCTCCCGGACCAACTGGGTGGGGAAGTGGAGGAATGAGAGGACGAAGGACGTTGGGGCATCCTCCATGCCCCCCCACCCCGGTGCCCCTCACTTCCAACCCATTACCCCCACCCCTCATTGTCCCATAGTGCCCCTTACTCCCAACCTGCAGCCCCTCTACCTGCTGCTCCAGTTTCTGGACATACTCCCTCTGTCGTACCCACTGGGTCATGCCTACATGGAACCAGGCAGGGTTGCAGCGTGGGGGGACCCTGCCATAGAGTAAGTTGGGGGTGGCATCAGAGGTTGGGGAGAACCCAGGGGTCTGGACTCCCACCCACCAGCTTTACTCCCCTCCCAGAGCCAGGAAAGAACCCAGGTATCCATGCTGCACCCACTAGCCCCCCAACCCCTCTCAGAGCCAGAATAGAACCCAAGCATCCAGGGTCCCAAGCCCCACTGCTGCTGTCATCCCCCCAGGACCCTTTCCTTGCTTCAAGCCAGTATAGAACCAAGGTGTCTGGGTGCTCACCTCTCAGCAGGGCTGGGGTCCGGAGTGGGAGGACTTGGGGGGGGCCCATCCTGGGCAGGGGGGTCTCTCATAGGACACTCCACGCTGCTGCCCCCTGTAATGAAAGGGGGAGGGTCTCAGCTTGGAGGTTGGTGCCAGGGAGGGGATTTGGACCCACCTCCCAGCCTCAAGCCCCACCCCACAGATGCCCACACCCCCTTTAACCGTGCCCTTGACCCTGGCATGGTTCTCACCCTGACCCCCGTGGGATTGGGGTCACTCCTCCCTAGCCCCACCCCCAGTCCCATTAGCCCTACCCCTCCATTTTGGCCACGCCTCCTCCTTGCCCTACCCCCTTACCATGTGCCAGAGTTTGGCGTGTCCTCATGACCAGCACCCCAGGCTGCTGCGTGGTCAGGTGGGGGGGGCACAAGGAGCTCGTAGCTAGGAGCTGTGGGGCAACGAGAGGGGGGGAATGAGGTGCTGGGAGAACCTAGGCTTCCAGGCTCCCAGCCCCACCCTGCTGTAACCCACCAGCCCCCACCTGCTTCCCAGAGCTGGGAGGGAACACAGGCCTCTTGCTTCCTACCCCTCTCTCCCTCCTCCACTCCGGAACTCAGGCATCCGGGCTCCCTCTGCTCTAACTCACCAGCTGTCACTCTCCAGACAGAGAACCCAGGCTTCTGGGCTCCTATCTCCCCTTGCTCACCCCCCCCAGCCTCCACTGCCCTACCAGAGAACCCAGGTGTCCGGGCTTCCAGACCTCCGAATCCCCCACACCCCACCCCAAAGTGGGAAGGAACTCAGGCATCTGGGGACTCACCCGTGGCTTGCGGTGGGGCCCGTGGAGTACAGAGGGGCGGTCTTGGGTAGGGCCACGGGGCGCAGGAGGGCTGCTCTGGGGGGTGCTGTCAGTAGGGGGAGAGTGGGGGTCCAACGGGGCCTGGCGCCAGCTGCCAGGAGAAGGGGGGGGAGGGAGAGAGTTCACGTGCGTGTACGATGGGGTCCACGTGGGCGTACGAGAGGAAGGGCAAGCTGCGCATGTGTGTGTGTATCAGACGCCTGGGTTCTGTGTGTGTATGTGTGTGTGTGCCCCCGTATCCCAGATACCTGGGTTCTGTGTTTGTGTACACGTGTGAGTCCCAGATGCCTGGGTCCTGTGTGCGTGTGGGTGTGCTTGTGTGTCCCGGACACCTGGGTTATGTGCATGTAAGAGCTCTGTTGTGTATTGCACAGCAAGTCCCAGGGAAACCATGTAACATCACACATGACATCACAGGGTCTGTGGGTGCATGCGCATTTTATATCTTCTGTGTTATGTGCTGTATGACTTTACAGGAAAAGTGTACATATCACATGTACCATCTCAGCTGTGATGTCATGGAAAGTGTCTGTGAGTCCCATCTGTAACATGCCACACATGAACTCACCAGGAGTTTGTGTTTTATCTGTGTAATGTGTCATGTGTGACACCACAAAGAACAGGTGTATCTGTGTCCTGTCTATGTAACCCTCCACATGAGAAGTTGCCAGGTTGCTGCCCTGTGTTGTTACACATGAGCTCACATGGACACACCACCAATGACATGTGCTGTGTGGCCCCTGCCCTGGTGCTGCCTCAGGGCTCTCACGCATATGAAATGGGACTACACCCACTCAGGGATGCGTCAAAGCTCATGAACATATGTATCACGCACATCTTTGTAGCTACACATATGTACATGCCACTACAGGCTCTGGACAGGTGAACCTGGGGGGTTTTTTGCCCTTACCCACACAGAGGGGAGAGAACCCAGGCTTCTGGGCTCCAAGGTCCCCCCATGTGTGATAACCCATTTGGCCCCACTGCTCCCCCAGAGAACTCAGGTGTCCGGGCTTCCAATGCCAGCCCCATATCTACTCTAACCCCCCCGCCCCTCCCCCTACCAAAAACCCAGGTGTCCAAGCTCCCAGCTCCCTCCGCTCTAATTCCCCAGTCCCAATTCCCCTCCCAGAGGACGCAGGCATCCAGGCTCCCAGGCCCCCCTGCTCTGAACCCCAGCCCCACTTCCCTCCCAGAGAACCCAAGTGTCTGGACTCCCAGCTCAATCCACTCTAATCCCCCAGACCCCACTCCCCTCCCAGAAAACCCAGGCATCTAGGTGCCCAGTCTCACCCCTCCCCACTAGGCCATACTCTCCTCCATGAGCAGGGATGGAACCCATGCATCCAGGCCCCAGGCCTCCCCCCCCAGAAGCTGCTTCCCGTCAGGGGTGCGGGTTCCGGGAAGCCAAAAGCCCCTGGCGCTGCCCGCACCGGAATTTCCCTGGCGTCACAGGCACAGGGTGGAGGTGGGGGCGCCCCACAGATACCAGCTCCTCACCATATGGCCCCTGGAGCTAGGTCTCCTAGAAAACCCAGGCGCCCGGGCCCTTGGCCCGGTCTGCTCTACATCACCAGACCCCGGTCCCCTCTCAAAGCAGAGAGAGAACCCAGGTGTCCAGGCTCTAGGCCCCATGTGGGTCTAGGCCACCATCCAGTATCCCTCCATCCATCCGCCTATCCCTTTCTCCATGCATCCACTCATCCATTTGTTCACTCATTTGCCTATGCAGGCACCCATCCAACCATCTCTTCATCCTTTCTTCCATTCCTCCCTCCCTCCATCTCTCTATGCACTCATCCATCCATCCATCCATCCATCCCAACTCATTTCCTGACAGTGGTTACTTAGGCATATTTGGGGGGGGGCAAGGCTGGAGTTGTGGGGGTAGAAGAAGGACAGAGGGGGCAAAAGCTCCCATTTTGGGGTAAAACTTGGCAATCTTGGATATGCTGGGGGGCATGGGGCTAGAGGCAATCAGGGGTTGTGACATTGATGTAAATCTGCAGGGACAGGGGAAGGGTTCGGTGTAGGGGGTCCAGGGTTCCTCATTTAACTACCAGACCCCTCTGCCCTCCCAGAGCTAGGAAAGAACCCAGGCGTCTGTGTGTCAGGCCCTCCTGCTCTAGCCCACAAATCTGACTCCCCTCCCACAGCCAGCTGGAACCCAGGTGTCTTGGATCTCAGTCCCCCACCCCACTCTGAACCACCGCTCCCCACTCCCCTTCCACAGGACAGAATCCAGGCATCTGGTCACCCTTGTCTTACCAGCCCCTACTCCCTTCCATGAGCTGGCTAAAACCCAGGTGCCTAGGCTTCCAGGCTTCCCTGTTCTGACCCACCAGACCCCACTCCCTTCCCAGAGTGGGGAGAGAACCCAGGTGTCCAGGCTTCTAGGTCCTTCCTGTTCTAACCCATGCACTCACTAGCCCCCCGCCCCCAGTCACCTTTCAGAGCAGTGAGAGAACTCAGGTGTCTGGGTAAGGACCCAGGCATCCAGGTCTCCCTGTTCTGATCCCCCTCCCCAGTCCCTCACTCCCCTCCCAGAGCTGGCTAGAACCTAGGTATCTGGGCTTCCAGGTCCCCACTCCAAGCCAGCAGACCTCCACTCTGAGCTAGAACCCAGGCATCTGAGCTCCTACTCCCCCTAATTCTAAACCACCAGGTCCCACTCACCTCCCGGAGACAGCTAGAACCCAGGTGTCTGACCTCCCAGGTCTCCTTGTTCTAACCCCGCAGATCCCACTGTCCTTCCAGAGCTGGCTAGAACCCAGGTGCCTGGGCTCCTGGCCCCCATGCACTCACCGGCTGGCATTCATGAGCATGGTGACCCTGGGGTGCCCCCGGCTTGCAGCTGCCTTCATTTATACCCTGGCTGGGCCCCGCTGACTGTGTGGAAAGTCTGAAACTGGTTGTTTTTCCTCTTTTGCTCTTTCCTCCCAGTTTTTACCTTGAAATCGCACCCCCCCCACACACACACGAGAAACCACCGAAAGCACCAGGTCGGGGCGTGATGGCACCAGAGGGCGGGGGGGCAGGAAGCCAGTTCAAGACAGCAGCTGGGGACTAGGGAAAAGGGTGGGGGGGGAGGGAAATTGCCAAAATAGGGGTAGGCAGATTAGCCCTGAAAAATAGCCTGCAGGAAACTTTTGGGAGCCCACAGAACCCAGGCATCCAGGCTACCTGGTGGGTGGGTGCAGGACCCAGATGTCCATGCTCCCATATCGGCCCCCTGTCCTAAGTCACAGCACTCCACTCCACTCTCAGAGCTAGAGACGAACCCAGGCACCTGGGCTCCCACCATCCTTTATTCTCTACAGTCTAGATCTCATTCCCCTCTCAAAGAACCCAGATGTCTGGGCTCCCGCCACCTTTTATTCTAGCCCATCATTCACTGCTATCCTCTCAGAGGACCCAGGAGACCTGGCTTTGAAACCACTTGCTAACTATCACTCCCCTCTCAGAGCAGGGAGAGAACCCAGGTGTCCAGGCACCCAGACCTCCTACTCTAATCCACCAGCCCCTACTCCCTGCCCTGAGCAGCAAAAGAAACCCAGGCATCTGGGCTCCCCCTCCCCCTCCCCCTGCTTTAACCCACCAGACCCTACTCCCGTCCCAGAACAGGGAGAGAACCCAGGCATCCTGGGTATGAAGGTTGTCAGGAAGAACATGCCTGAAATGTATGTGACATTCAGGGAGCTAGTGAAGTCCCCTCCTCACCATCATGCTTTTGTCCCAAGGTTTTGCACACGCATGTGAGCACACATTTCACATCCCTGAGGCAGAGGATGCCTGCTGGTGTGCACTGGTACAGACAAGACTGTGTGTGTTAGATGACTGGAGGTCACGTGTGCTATAAGGGTGGTGATCTGTGGCTGTATGTGCATGTGAGCTGGCGGGGGTGCATGACAAAGGAGGATCGTACATGTGAGACTGTGTGTATGAATGTGTGCGCATACACATGATCATCAAACACACACTTGTGTCCCAGGGAGAGATTGTGTATGCTGGTGCACATGTGGTTGTGATCAATGTCCAGGAGAGAGAAGAGATTATGTGTCCCTGTATGTGTGTCTTTGTGTGCTTCAGTGTCTGTCCCGGATGCCTGGGTTCTGTGTAAGTGTGTGCTTCTTAGATGCTTGTGTTCTGTGTGTGTGTGCACCACTGTGCAAGTCTCAGACACCTAGGTTCTGTGTGTGTGTGTGTGTGTGTGTGTGTGTGTGTGTGTGTGTGTGTGTATGTATCCTGGACAATTTAGTTCCATTAGTGATTGTGTTTATGTGTGTCCCAGCTGCCTGGCTTCTGCATGTGTGTGAGTGTCCCAGGCTGCTGGCTTCTGTTGTGTGTCCTGGACATGTGTGTGCGCGTGCACACACACACATGCTCATATCAGATGCCTAGGTTATGTATATGTGTCTGTACTAGATGCCTGGGTTCTGCATGTGTCCTGGATGCCTGAATTCTGCATGTGTGTGTATGTTCACAACTCTGTCGTTGACTTTGCACCCCTTGGCTTGCAAATTTTTACAGCAAATCATGTGGTGGTGGGGGCAACTGTGAGTGTGAATAAATGTGCACATGCACACATGCTCTTCCTGAGTGTGCAAACATTCACGTATGTGCATGTGAACTTCTGCAGCATGGTTCAGTGCACAAGTGTGAATCCCACATGCCACCATGCGTGCAACAGCAAAGCCAAGTATGTCTCACTCAGCATGCGTGTGAGCAAATGTGTGGTCAGTTGTGTACCGGGATGCACATTTGCACTAAAACATGTGTGCACACCCTGGGTATGAATTGGCATGCACAAGTGTGCAACAGAGCATGACCCACCCCATGCACATGCATGTGTATGCGCAACCCTGTGTGCAGCCTCCTGCCCTATGTACAGTGCCTTGCACCCTCTCAACTCCGTACTCACCAGGGGGTGTCCCAGGAGTCTCATCTCTGGGGTGGTGTCCGTCTCCAAGCCGGCACTCATCCCCTTGTTATAAGGGTTTTGGGGGAGGGAGAGAGAGGGGGGTGCCACCCCCTGCTGTGATGTCACTGCCCCTCCCCCCACCCAGCGTCTTGGGGTCCCCCCCCATGGGGGAGGCAGGCAGGGGAAGTCTCAGGGGAAGTCCTGGCATGACTTTCACTGCTGCCGACTTTCACCAGCATTGCGGAGGCCGTAAAATGGCCTCAACCTGACCAGCTGCCCCTTTCCTGTGGTAACTGGGATGGTGGGGCAGGTAGGGTAGGCCTGGGGCATTGGGAATGGGGCACAGGTAACTGGGTGGGGCCAGGAGTAACTAGGATGGAGTGGGGGCCTCTGGGGTACAAAGGTAGACCACCCTAGACCACCTAGCATGCCCTAGGAACCTTATTGCTAAGGGCTGCACTCTCAGCATGCCCTGTGGCACCTCACTCCAAGCATGCCTTGGAGCACACTGGTGCTAAGGGCTGTGCCCCCAGCATGCCCTGGGTGCTGCATAGCTAAGATCTGCATTCCCAGCACACTCTGGGGTGCCTGTTGCTAAGGGCCACATTTCCAGCATGCTGCAAGGCACTCTGTCACTAAGGGCCACATTCCCAGTGTGCCCTAGGAGCCCTATGGCTAAGGGTCACGCTCCCAGCATGCTCCCAGGTACTGTCACTAAAGGCCACACTCCCAGCATGCCCTGGGATGCCTGTCACTAAGAGCAACATTCCCATCATGCTCTGAGGCACCCTATTGCTAAGAACTGCATACCCAGCACACCCTATGGGTCTGTTACTAGAAGCCACACTCCCAGCATGCCCTGGGGTACCCTGCTGCTAAAGGCCACACTCGGAGCATGCTCAGGGGCACCCAGGTCCCGCCTCCTGCCCTGCTTCAGACCTCCACCCCCTACAGACATCCAGCTCAGCCCCCTGCTAAGAGAGCCCAGGGTGCAGGGCTCTCCCCACAGAAGATAGAGACAGCGAGGGGAAGAGTTCCGGAGTCCAGGTTCCTGGTGCCACCTCGCGTACTGACACAGCAAAGGAAAGGACGCAGGTGTCCTTCTGGCCCCAGTCTTAAGTCCTGGGCAGGAAACAATCCAGGAGCTCAGGCTCCTTCCCTAAAAGCACGGAGCAAGGATTAGAACCCAGGCTTCCCGGCCAGCACCACCCCTAAAAAAGCAGGCATCCTGGACTCCTCCTCATGTTTCCCCTCCTTCCCTGTGGCTCCGCCCCCTCGCCCTCCCCTCCAGCTTGTCTCCACATCCCCCTCCCAGCCTC